ATAATAAAATCAATTCGTTGATAACCTATTCATTCTGATCCACACAAAATAAAAATAATTGTTATCACCAATTAAAATACGCTCTCCCGAATTTAATCGGTGACACTAAGAAGGTAAGTCCTAACAAATATGCATATGAAATCTATATTTCTATTAATCTTTCATTTATTTGGGATAATAAGAAAATTTTGCAATTTATGTAGATTTGGTGAATTTCATGGTGATTTTTTGTGTTTATTAAAGTAAATAATAATTAAAGTTTGCTTGCCTAAATTTATTAGTCAAAAATAAATAAATGCAAAATAATTATATTGGCTACTATACACATTGTTGTCAAAATTAAAGATGCAATTGTGTTGTGCATGATGCAAAGTGATGCAAAATGTAATTCAAGATGAATAAAAATAGTTAATATGAAACTTATTTACATTTGGAACCCAAGGATTATAGCACCATTAGAAGTATTTTAAAGAAAGAACAAGGAGAAAAAATTGCACCTTATATTTTCAAATAAATGATACTCAAACAGAAGCTTATCTAAGGAAAGAAATATTACCTATGAAATTTACCAAGAAAGAAAAATAATAAACATTAAAAAAAGAAAGCAGAATGAAGGTGTACTATTATCAACAAAAGTCAGAACCATTTAGAAGAAAAATAATCCTATTATTGCAGTATTGATCTATTCTTTTACTGATTATTACTACAAAGAAAATTCTCTATGCAAATGCAATTAATAATCATCCATCATTTTGCAGTCAGGGAATATGCTAAATTTGGTATTTCTAATTTATAGGGACATGCTGCAACAAAGTGAATATTTGTATTACCAAGAATTTCGGGGGGGGGGGGGGGCAAAATTTAGTCATTTGTAATGCAATTTTCATAATATATCTTCTTAATATTAAGTGATATATAGAATTACCTCTAGATAAAAATAGTCTTAGTTAATTCTTATTTTGCAACATCAATAATTTAATAATGTTATAATATGTACACAAGTATCTATATTTGATTACAAATTTTTCTGATCTTATTATTATCTATAAACATTTTCTTTTACTATTGGTTTTTTTGTTTAATGTTTCATCAGGAGGTAGATTATTTTCATCACCATCATTATCATATTTTTCCAAACCTTTTTCCAATTCTTTTTCCAATTCATCCAAATCCCTCAACCAAATGTCATTAGCTGGATCTTGTAAAGTTTCATTCAATTTTTTTCCTAATCTTTCTTTCTTTTTCATATCTCATTTTTTTAATATTATATACATAATAAAATACATTTATTATTATAACAAAATTGAATATTTCTTTATAATTATGATCTCAGCAAATAAAATCAGAAAAACTGATCAAGTTATTTTTATATAAAATAATTGACTCACGGAAAATATCTTGAACAATGGAGAAATAAATAAATATTCAACATTCTAAAATGTAACAAACCTTTATTTCTTAGATTTAATTTAAATGAAGGAATTTAAATGATTGGATCACTTTAGAAATAACTTGAAAATAATTCTACACAGAAGGTTC